ACGTGCCAGGAGGGATTCTCACACCCTCTCTCTGAGCCCCTGCTCAACATGCCATAAAAACTGCAGGGACTCGGCAGTGGGGAATCTGGGTTTCAGCTGCACCTCTTCAGCCTCATGCCTCCCACTTTCACTAGGGATTAGGCAAGTACATGGTTCATTCACCTTCTTTTTAGTCTGTTTCTTTCTCCGTATTCTCTGAGTCTTGCCAGGAGGGATTCTCACACCCTCTCTCTGAGCCCCTGCTCAACATGCCATAAAAACTGCAGGGACTCGGCAGTGGGGAATCTGGGTTTCAGCTGCACCTCTTCAGCCTCATGCCTCCCACTTTCACTAGGGATTAGGCAAGTACATGGTTCATTCACCTTCTTTTTAGTCTGTTTCTTTCTCCGTATTCTCTGAGTCTACCTCTAGACTGCATCCCTCTGTCGACAGAGAGATGTAGATTAGGCACATCGAAAGTGCAAATGAAGCCAGGATTTAAATATGCCATGCTTCATTTGCATAAACATTTGCACTTTTGATGTGCCTGTGGCAGGGTCTGTCTGTCTGTCTCCCTCCTGAGACCCTGACCACTGTTCTGTCCACTGTCCCACCCTCTGAGGGCTGCAGCAGGGCCCTCGCCTGCAGAGTTTTTGTCCCTGAGCCTGCCTGCCCCTTAGCATAAAGGAGGGTGTATTGGGCTGAAGCCCTGGGCTAGTCACGGCTGACCAGAAATCCCTCTTCTTGCCCCAGGGGATGGGGGATAAGGGAGCCCTCCAACACTTCTTGCTCCACTCCTCACCTCCCTCTGTAGCCTTTAGCAGGGTTAGTGATTCCTCCACTCTGAGTCTCCTTAACACTTGGTTGTTTACTCCTCTCCACGTACTTTCTCTCTCTCCCTCCCCCCCAGGGATGGTTTGTAAAGAGGTCCCGTGGCAGCCCCAATCAGCTTCACCTGGCACTTCATTGATTTGCAGTCGCCCTGTTTCAGCTGCCCCTAATTAGTCAGTATTACTGTTGTTCTCTCTGCTAGAGTAGCCTCTCTCCCCTTCCACCAAGTCCTTTAACCTGCTCTGTCACAGTGCCTAATCTACATCTCTCTGTCAACAGAGAGGTGTAGTCTAGACACACCCTGAGGCTACGTCTACACTGGCATGATTTTCCAGAAATGCTTAAAATTGAACAGTTTTTGGTTATAAGTATTTCCAGAAAAAGAATGTCTATATTGGCAGGATGCTTTTCCGGAAAAGCCCTTTTTCTGGAAAAGTGTCCGTGGCCAATCTAGACGCGCTTTTCCGGAAAAAAGCCCCGATCGCCATTTCCGCGATCGGGGCTTTTTTGCCGAAAAGACTACTGTGCTGTCTACACTGGCCCTTTTCTGGAACAGTTTTCCGGAAAAAGGACTTTTGCCCGAGCGGGAGCAGCATAGTTTTTCCAGAAAAGCAGCTGATTTCTTACAGTAGATCGTCAGTGCTCTTCCGGAAATTCAAGGGGCCAGTGTAGACAGCTCGCAGGTTATTCCGGAAAAGCAGCTGATTTTCCGGAATAAGTGGCCCAGTGTAGACACAGCCACAGTGTGCATCTACACTGCAGGGTTTTTTTTGGAAAAATGACCATTTTCCCAAAAAAACTTCACTTACGTCCACACTGCAATTGCATTCTTTCAAAAGAACAATGTAAGCACAGAGGGGTTTTTCTGACATTGGTAAACCTCATTCTATGAGGAAGAAGCCTTTTCTGAAAGAGCTCTTTCAGAAAAAGGAATGTGTGGACAGGGAAGATGGAGTTCTTTGGGAAGAAGAGACCTCCAGGAAAAAGCACAGGTGCTCTGGAAGGCACTTCGTCCATAATAATCACAGTTTAAATACGAGATAGCGTCCATTCAGTGTGGACACTCTCTTTCGAAAAAGCAGATTGCTTTTTCAATGTGCTTTTCCAGTGCAGATGCTCTCTTTTTTGAATAATATTTGTGAAAAAGCTTCTTTTGAAAGAAGCTTGTGGTATGGACATACCCAGAAAGTGGAAAGAGAATAGAATTAGACAGTGATGCACTGTATGTACTTTTATACGTGGTAACAACTTGGGTTAGAACCCAACATCCTCAAAGCCACATTTCCAGCTCAGTGCTGGGGACAACAGATGTGACAGCAGTGGAAATAGTTGTTAGTGAAACCCAACAACATACTAGAACCCTGGGATCTGCTAACCAATGGATGGAGGAATGGATGGAGGAAGAAAGGGATGGATCAAGGAAGGGATGGATGTAAGGATGGATGGACTGAGGAAGGGATGGATGGATGGAGGAAGGAAGGAAGGGAGGGATGGATGGATGGATCTCCCATCTGGGATGTGGCCTTGGCAAAAATCATGGAACTGTGAGCCTGGGTCACATCTCATTCTCACCCTTTCTCTCTCTGAGTTCCCCCTTTGACATGCTATATAAAATCCAGGGACCAGGAGGGTGGAAGAGGAACTCAGGGGAAGGCCCCTGGACACAGCTGTAGTTTTACTTCTCCTGGAGGGGCAGGCCAGCTGGTCCCTCTAGGTAGGCATGAGGAAGGGATTGCTATTTTTATCCCCACCTTCTGTCAGCAGGCTGTCCCTTAGGGCCTCCCTGCTTCAGACCCATGCCCCCCACTGTCACTAGGTATCACATTACTGGATCTTGAGGGGAGCAGCCAGATCAATGCTGCACCCATAGGTGGGGGTGTTGGCCCCAGAAAATGGTATAAAAGGGGGCCATGTGGGGTGCTGAATAGAAGCTTATTATCTGATAATCCTATGTAAGCTATTTATGTGGTTGTATAATGTCTGTGTGTGTAGTTAGGAATCTGTAGTCTGTGTGGATACTGAATACTTCTCTGCATGTGGATGAGCAGTGGGCAGAGCCCGGGCCTATGGACATGCTAATTAGCGAGGCCCTGTGGGACAATGGCACTCAATGGGCCAAGGACACACCTAAAGCATGAGGGCGGACACCTAAGAGCAGCCAGCAGAGAGAGGCTGAGGAGGCCAGGAAGGAGGTATAAAGAGGCCATGTGGTCGATGCCATTTTGTTCTCAGCTCAGCACTTCATCCCAGAGGCAGCATTGCAGGGATCGAAGAGCCCGAGAGACCTGTGAACCCATCCTGACCCTAGGATGTGCAACAAGAACTCTTAAACCAGCAGCTGTAACATCTCTGCTAGAGGCTGCATCGAGAACTGGGAGATTCGGTGCATGTAACATACTATTCCTTTAACAACCTTACTCTCACTGGCTTTTGCTTACCCACTGCAGCAGCTGTAACATCTCTGCTAGAGCCTGCATCGAGGACTGGGAGATTCGGTGCATGTAACGTACTATTCTTTAACAACCTTACTCTCATGCTTTTCTTTCTTGTGATAATAAACCTTTAGATATATATTCTAAAGGATTGGCCCAGCGTGATTTGTGGGTAAGATCCAGAGGGTAAATTGACCAGGGATCTGTGACTGGTTTCTTGGAACTGGACAGGACTTGTTCGGGGTAGGTGGGATTGGGTGCTAGGACCCCCCACCTGTGTATGAGGCCCGGGGCCATCTGGGGCACGGATATTGCTGGGGTGTCGGAGGGGTTTTGCTCGTGAGGCTTCAGGCAGGCAGCTGAAGCGCTCTGTAGGACTGGTTAGTGGCCTGTTTGGAGAGGTCACCAGTCTGGGGGCTGTAAGGAGCCCCGGATTTGAGCAATTCGCCCTGAGCGGACGCCCTCAGCTGTGCCCAGACACAGCCCGGTCCATCACACTAGGGATTAGGCAATTACCTGCTTCTGTCACCTCCTTTGCAGTCTCTATCTCTTCCTCCTTCTTCTTCTCTGAAAGGGGAAAGACAATGGAATTAATGCAGCACATCACTGTCTTAGTTGTGTGCTGGGAAACAACTTGGGTTAGCACCTGACATCCCCACAGTCACACTTGCAACCCAGTGCTGGGGACAGCACATGTAACAGGAGAAGAAATATCTGTTAGTGAAACACAACAACATACTAGAACCCTGCAATCTACCCAGCATGTAACCAAGATGGAAGAGATGGGTCTGAATCCCCAAGCACCTCTGACATTCCCAAGCTTTCTGTCTCAGAGGAATTCCTTGCCTGCGTTACTAAAAGCACTTTGGAGCACTAGAGCTATGCACTCCAAGGCTATGTCTACACTCACGGTTTCTTGTGCGAGTAATATGCAAATGAGGCTAAGCGTGGAATATCACAGAGCCTCATTTGCATACCTAATGAGCCACCATTTTTTTCAGAAGAGGCTCTTGAGCAAGGAGGAGTGTCTACACTGCCCCTTCCTCTGCAAGGAAAACCCTCTTTCACAATACCGTTCTTCCTGAAAAGTAATAGGTGTAACAGCATTGCGCAAGAGGGTTTTTCTTGTGCAAGAAGGGGCAGTGTAGACGCTCCTTCTTGCGCAAGAGCCTCTTCTAAAAAAAAAAATGGTGACTCATTAGGTATGCAAATTAGGCCTGGCGATATTCCACGCTTAGCCTCATTTGCATATTACTCGCACAAGAAGCCGCGAGTGTAGACATAGCCCAAGTGTAACTGGAGAAGGGAGGGAAGGAAGAAAGAAGGAAGGGAAAAAAGGAAGGAAGAAAAGAGGGAGGGAAAAGGCAAATGGATGGATCGAGGAACGGAGGAAAGGATGGATGGATGGATGGATGGAGGAAGGAAGAGATGGATGGATAGATGGATGGAGGAAGGAAGAAAGGGAAGGATGGATGGATTGAGGAATGGAGGAAGGGAGGGAAGGATGGATGGATCTCCCATCTGGGATGTGGCCTTGGCAAAAAAGCATGTTACTGTGAGCCTGGGTCACGTCTCTTTCTCATCCTTTCTCTCTCTGGATATGTCTACTCTGCCACCCTTGTTCGAACTAGGGTAGCTAATGTAGGCATTCGAACTTGCAAATGAAGCCCGGGATTTAAATATCCTGGGCTTCATTTGCATGTTCCGGGGCACCGCCATTTTTAAATGCTCGGTAGTTCGAACTACCTGCCCGCGGCTACACGCGGCACGGACTAGGTAGTTCGAATTAAAGCCCCTAATTTGAACTACCGTTACTCTTCTTGCAATGAGGAGTAATGGTAGTTCGAATTAGGGGCTTTAATTCAAACTACCTAGTCCATGCCGCATGTAGCCGCGGGCAGGTAGTTCGAACTACCGGGCATTTAAAAATGGCGGTGCCCGGGAACTTGCAAATGAAGCCCAGGATATTTAAATCCCGGGCTTCATTTGCAAGTTAAAATGCCTACATTAGCCACCCTAGTTCAAACTAGGGTGGCTAGTGTAGACATACCCTCTGAGTTCGTCCTTTGACGAGCTATATAAAATCCAGGGCCCAGGTCGGTGGGAGAGGGACTCAGGGGACGGCCCTGGACACAGCTGTAGTTTTACTCCTCCTGGAGGGGCAGGTCAGCTGGTCCCTCTAGGTAGGCATGAGGAAGGGATTGCTATCTTTATCCCCACCTTCTGTCAGCAGGCTGTCCCTTAGGGCCTCCCTGCTTCAGACCCATGCCCCCCACTGTCACTAGGGATTAGGCAATTACCTGCTTCTGTCACCTCCTTTGCAGTCTCTATCTCTTCCTCCTCCTTCTTCTCTGAAAGAGGAAAGACAATGGAATTAGACAGTGATGTGCTGTATTTAGTTGTGTGCTGGGAAACAACTTGGGTTAGCACCTGACATCCTCACAGTCACACTTGCAACCCAGTGCTGGGGACAGCAGATGTAACAGGAGAGGAAATATCTGTTAGTGAAACACAACAACATACTAGAACCAAGGGATCTGCCAAGCACGTAACCAAGATGGAAGAGATGGGTCTGTATCCCCAAGCACCTCTGAAATTCCCAAGCCTTCTGTCTCAGAGGAATTCCTTGCCTGTGTTACTAAGAGCACTTTGGAGCACTAGAGCTATGCACTCCAAGTGCAACTGGGGGATGGAGGGAGGGATGGAGGAAGGGATGGACGGATGGATCGAGGAAAAGAGGGAGGGAGGAATGGAGGGAGGGAGGGAGGGAAGGAAGGAAGAAAAAGAAAGGAGGGAGAGAGGAAGATGGATGGATGGAGGAAGAGAGGAAGGATCGAGGAAAGGAGGGAGGGAGGAAAGGATAAATGGATGGAGGAAGGGAGGGAGGAAGGGATGGGGCCTGGGAAATGTGAAGCACCTTCATCCAAGGGCAGTACAGGATGAGACGTTGCTGCTGCTGCCAGCTCCATTGAATCATTCCTGAGTCCTGGCGAGGGGGAATGGAGAGGTGATGGTTTAGTCTCTATTTCTTCCTCCTTCTCTGAAAGGGGAAAGAGAATGGAATTAGACAGTGATTCACTGCATGTAGTTTTGTGCCTGGGAACAACCTGGGTTAGCACCCGACATCCCCACACTTCCAGCCCAGTGCTGGAGACAACAGATTTGTCAGGAGCAGAGGTAGCAAAGCATCTAACCAAGATGGAAGAGATGGGTCTGGATCCCCATACAGCTCTGACATTCCCAGGCCTTCCATCTCGGCGGAATTGCTTGTCTGTGTTACTAAAAGCACTTTGGAGCCCTAGAGCTATGCACTCCAAGCGTAACTGAGGGAGAAAGGAGTGGATGGATCTTCCATATGGGATTTGGCCTCGGTACAAAAGCATGACAATGTGAACCTGGGTTATGTCTCATTCTCACTGTTTCTCTCTCTGAGTTCCCCATCGATGTGCTATATAAAATTCACGGCCCGGAGGGTGGGAGAGGGACTCAGGGTATGTCTAATACAGTTAGGAGATCCACTGGGAGAATGTCTGTGATGAGATGGCTTGACATTTGTTATGGTTCGCTATTGAAACAAAAATCTTGGGAGAAGATCTGAATAGCTTTGTCTGATGTAAATAAAAGGAGAACACCCTGAATATACAATCAAGTGTATGCATTGCTGACTAAAATGAACTGGTGTGGGGCTTGGGTAAAATGTAGGAGGATGTATTGTCTGGTTCAAATGGAAGGAAAAGTTTTGTTGACTTTCTCCAGTTTCATTATATCGAGGGAAAAAGCAAGCACTTGTCAGATTTCCATGGTGCATAGCGCTGCCTGAGGGTGTGTCTAGACTACAGGGTTTTGTCGACAAAAGTGGTTTTGTCAACTACAGAGTTTTGTTGACATAACATCGACAGAACTCAGCAGTTTTGTCAACATCTGTAAACCTCATTCTACGAGGAATAACGCCTTTTGTCGACAGAGTTCTGTCAACAGAAGGTGTTGTTGCATCTACACTGTCCTTTGCGTCTACGCTGTCATGTCGACAAAGCGGCTTGCTTTGTCGACAGAACTGGATGTAATCTAGATCCTCTTTGTCAACAGAAGCTTTGTCGACAGTATCTATCAACAAAACTTCTGTTGACAAAAGCCTGTAGTCTAGACGTACCCTGAGAGTCCTACTGGGGACCTAGCTGACCAGATCCAAAGGTTTGGTGAGCTGGATCTAGGCTCTGGGCCATATTTTGCCCACATTATGAGGTTTAGGACAAAATGCAGGGAAAACCAAGGCTGAGCCTCTGAGATTAAGCCCCATACCTCTGGGCTTCAGCCCTGAGGGAAGTGTCCAGAATTAAGGCTTCAGCTCTGCAGATCCCTTTGTGGTGCTGATTTACAAAATTCTATTACTATTTTACAAAAGTGTGTAACTCTAGAATCAGTGGTTGGCAGGAATTTAGCAGGAGAAGAGATCCCTGGCCCTGGATTTACTATCCCACTCCTCAACCCCTAGTGGAAAAGAGGGATGGGGTCCATCCTAGTGTACATTAGAGAGCCCTTACAGAGAGTAAAAACCAGTTACCTGTTCTGGAACTAGTATTCTTCAAGATGTTACCTATGTCCATTCCAGACTTGGTGTGCATGCTCACTATATGCACTGGTGCCAGAAGCTTTTTCCAAGAAGTACCCTTAGGGAAGCACCTCTCGTGACTCCAGTAGTGCTATAAAGGGTGCTGCATGCTAACCACACCCTCAGTTCTTCTTGCTGGACAACTCTAAAAGTGTGGAAGGAGGGTGGGGTGTAGAATGCACATGAGCAACACACCCTGAAGAACATCAGTTACAGAACAGGTCATTGTCTTTTCTTTGGAAGCTTGCTCATGTGCATTCCAAAATAGATGACTATCACTTGGAGGTGGAGAGAAGTCAAGAATGAAAAGGTTGCAGGACTGCCCTGCTGAATCCCACATTCTCTCTAGCTTAGGAGACAATGGTAGAATGAGCAGCAAACGTGTGCAAAGAACCACGTAGCTGCCTGATAGATGTTCTGGATGGGAATTTGGGCCAGGACTGCCACTGCTGAAGCCAGTCCCCTAGTCAAGTGAGCCAACTGGAGGCAGGGGAATGTCAGCCAGGTCATAGCAAGAGTACATACGTGAAGTGATCCAGTTTGAAATTCTTTGGGTAGATACTTGCTGACCCCTCAAGCACTCAACCACAGAGATGAATGAACTGCTGGATGGATTTCCAAAATGGACCAGTCCTGTCCAGGGAGAAAATTAGGGCCTGATGCATATATAGTGAGTGAAGGTTTTACTCATTAGGGGAATGGGGTTAGGAATAGAGAACTGGAAGGAAAATATCCTGGATCAAATGTAAGATTGATACCACCTTTGGTAGGAAAAATGGACAGGGTGGAGCTTGATCTCATCCTGGAAGACTGTATATGGCAGCTATGGGACTTTTCAGTTTAGAAAAGAGGAGACTGATGGGGGATATGATAGAGGAATATAAAATCATGAGTGGTGTGGAGAGGGCACCTGGTGCTGGCCACTGTTGGCAGACAGGCTACTGGGCTAGATGGACCTTTGGTCTGACCCAGTACGGCCGTTCTTATGTTCTTATGAGGTCAAGGCTCGAAGTTCAGAAACCCATCTAGCTGATGTTATCGCCACAAGGAATGTTACCTCCTAGGGCAGATGAGACAGGGGGTAGGTGACCAGGGGTCAAATGGAGGGCTCATGAGTTTAGATGGGACCACATTCAAATCCCATGGTGGGACCAGTGGTCTGACCTGGGGAAAAAGGTGTTCCAGTCCTCTGGGGAACCTGCCCATCATATTATGGAAGAACACCATGTGCCTCTGCACCAGATGATGGAAGGCAGAAATTCCAGGTGCATTTTGAAAGAGGCATGTGCCATCCCCTGGTCTTTCAAATGAAGCTGTTAATCCAGGATCAGCTGGATTGAGGCCTTCATTGGAGAGACACCAAGGAGGCCAGTGGTACCACAGGACTGATGACGAGGTTGAACACTGAGAGTGATGCCGATCCCAGGAATATGAATCCAGAGTTAAAGTCCTGAACTCCCTCTGAGCTCAGTTTCCTCTGGATTGGCTGCAGATGGTGGATTTGCAGTGGATTATGGCTAGCAATCAACACCTAGTACTTCTGAAATGGTGCCACTTGGGGAGAGGCAACAAGATGTATTCCAATGCACCATAACTGGTGACAAAAAGGAAACGAGAGTGGGGAGAGCATACCATGCCAGAGAGGCACCACTGCAAGAGTCACTTGTCCGCAGGTACGGTTAGTGAAAAAACATCCAGTACTGCTGCACATGGTGAGCACGCACATCTACTATGAATGGGGAAAAACAGGACAGATCTGAGAACTAGGATAGCAGAGAAGCTGTGGGTACCAACTGAGGAATGATAACGAAGACATGGCTGGTGGCTTGGGGACAAGAGGGGACTGCTAGGAGATATAGCAATGGACTGCAGGCAATATCAGGGTTTGTCTGTGCACAGCTCAGTTCCAGGGCCCCTCCAAGTTTCCTGCAATGGGTGGTATGTGCAAGGTCATGCTGGCCTGAAGACACCTTTCAGAGCCCTGTGCAGCACTGAGCAAGATGGAGAAGGTGATGGCTGGAGGGCCAGATCTGATTTTCAGGGGTCCCTTCGGATTCCCTGCAATTGTGCAGCTTGCAGGTATCTAATACAAGTGCTGGTTGCAGGTCAGGGTTGAGGATTAGTGGAAGACCTGTGGAGCTGGAGAGTTCAGGGCTAGATAGCAGGGGCCTGCAGGTTGGTGTTAAGGAGCCTTGGCAGAGCTGTGTATACATGGGAAGCCCGGCATTGAGCTAGCAGAGATTTTTGTAGTTATGGAATTGCATGGAGGCAGTTTGCCCAGAGCCTCATTAAATCCCACTGATCTATATGCCCTACTATATTCCCTCTCCATCATTAAGGATGATACTGAAATGTGAGCTGCAAATGCTGCAGTTTTGGAATAGTTTCAGGGCAGAAGGAGATGATCACAAAAGTGAATGAAGTCCATATTTTGTGTGTGGTGAGTTTCCTATCACGTGAAAGCACAGAGACATGTTTACTAGGGATTATCCAGGTACCTGATTTCAGCTGCTTGATCTCATTCTCCTGAGATTCTGAAATAGGGAGGAAAAAAGAGTTAGACACAGAGGTGCACTGTGTGGTGCCTTGAGCCCTATAATGACTGGGGCTAGGTACAGATACCTTCAGCCACACTCTCATTTGCATTGTAGGAGCCAGCAATTTTTATAGCAGTGGGGGTAGCAGTTATTGATGGGGAAATACTATGCTGCTCCCATTCGGGCAAAAGTCCTTTTTGCGCAAAAGGGCCAGTGTAGACAGCTGAGATTTGTTTTCTGCAAAAAAGCCCCGATCGCAAAAATGGCAATTGGGGTTTTTTTGCGCAAAAGCGCGTCTAGATTGGCCACGGACGCTTTTCTGCAAAAAGTGCTTTGCGGAAAAGCGTCAGTGCCAATCTATACGCTCTTTTCTGAAAATGCTTTTAACGGAAAAGTTTTCCGTTAAAAGCATTTCCGGAAAATCATGCCAGTGTAGACGTAGCCTATAGATATATGGACAGCACCCTGAGCTGCAGGCCCTGTTACCCTAGCCGTTCTGCTATGGTTGGGCGCTGGCTGAAGCAGCGGTTAGTGTCTCTTTCCGTGAGCTGGGAAACTCACTCCTAGCCACAGAGCCAATGAACCCCAGATCTGAGAACTGACAGCACGGGCCACATAAAGGTGCTGCTAATAAACAACAGCAGCTCTTACACAGAGTCCACAAATAACTCTTGGGCACAGCCCCCACCCCATTGCTGGTCCTGCAAAGACTGAGGAGAGGGAGCATCACATGTATCCCACAGAGTGAGGCCTGCCCTGCTGCAGCTTGTCACCGGGCTTCACACCTCCTGTTTGTGCGTCGTGCAATCCCTGTGTGGTGCTGATGCACACAAGTGTGTAACTCCAGGGTGAGTGCTTGGCAGGAGCTTAGGTGGAAAAGGGGTTTGAGGGGATGTCTAGCATTGGATTTACTGTCTCTCTCTCCACCCATGTGGAAAAAAGCAGGCGGTGGGCTCATGAGAGTGCACAGCACAGAGCCCTTACAGAGCACAGGATGCTCCTCTGTTCATTCAAAGCCCAGGCCTAGACTTAAAGGGGGAATCAGGGCAGGACTGAGAGCCTGGGCTAGCAGGGAAGCTGTGGATAGAGACTGAGGGGTGCCAGGGAGCTTGGACTGAGGAAGAATCCTGCCTGAGGCTAAGAGAGCAGAATGCTTAAGGTAGTGGCAGTTTGTCAGATGGGCACCTCCTGCATAGCTCAGTGCTGGGGCCCCTGCCAGTGACCTGCAATGTATGGTGTTTGTGATATCATTTGTATTAACAGGTGTGTTGTGAGCAAGACACGAGGGCTGTGTCTACACTGGGCCACTTATTCCAGAAAAGCAGCCGCAATGAGAATGAGAAAAGCAATGAGAATGAGAAAAGCAATGAGAATGATTAAAGGTCTAGAGAACATGATCTACGAGTGAAGGTTGAAAGAACTGGGTTTGTTTAGTTTAGAAAAGAGAAGATTGAGAGGGGACATGATAGCTGTTTTCAGGTATCTAAAAGGGTGTCATAAGGAGGAGGGAGAAAACTTGTTCATCTTGGCCTCTGAGGACAGGACAAGAAGCAATGGGCTTAAACTGCAGCAAGGGAGGTTTAGGTTGGACATTAGGAAAAAGTTCCTAACTGTCAGGGTGGTCAAACACTGGAATAAATTGCCCAGGGAGGTTGTGGAATCTCCATCTGTGGAGATATTTAAGAGTAGGTTAGATAAATGTCTATCAGGGATGGTCTAGACAGTATTTGGTCCTGCCATGAGGGCAGGGGACTGGACTCGAAGACCTCTCGAGGTCCCTTCCAGTCCTAGTATTCTATGATTCTATGATCATGCTGTGAGGATGATACCACCCAGAGCCCTGGGCAGCACTGTACAAGGCAGAGCAGCTATTGCTTGGCGGGTGTGATCTGGCTTTCAAAAGGCCCCTTGCTTCCTCAGATTTCCCTGCAATTGTATGGTTGGCAGGTGCCACCACTTGCTGCATATCATATTGAGAGTCTGTGGGAGGGCTGTGGGGCCGGAGAGCCAATGGGCCAAAAGCAGCAGGGTAGCTGGGGCAGTATGTGCAGTGACTTAGATGTAGTGTACAGGTTCTTGGACTCCCGGGATATATATGCAACTGGCAACCTTGAGCTGCAGGCTCTGCTACCCCAGCCATGTTGCTAAGATTATTGTGCTAGCAGAAGCAGGGGGGTATAGGCAGTGGCAGTGCTTATCCAAGGGGGACCCCTTCACAGTTCATTTCCTGTTCCTTCCCAGGTCACACTGTGAAAAGTACACCACTCAGAGCCCTGTATAGCATGAAGGAAGATGGAATAGCTGATGTCTGGAGGGCCAGAGGAAGTTTGCCCAACTCATCATTATGTCCTGCTGATCTATGTGCACTCAATTCACTCTGCAAAATTTAGGATGATACTGAAATGAGAGATGCAAAGGATGCAGTGACTGAATATTTCCAGGGCAGAAGGAGATGATCATACAGATAACTGAACTACATACTTTGTGTGTGTGTGTGTGTGTAGTTTCCTTTCATGTTATATATAGCATGAAGGCACAGGCACACATTTTCCAGGGATTATCCAGGTACCTGATTTCAGCTCCTTGATCTCAATCTCCTGAAGCTCTAAAATAGGGAAGAGAAAAACAAAACTTAGATTCACAGACGTGTGCTGTATAAGGTCAACTGCCCCAGAATGACTGTGCTTTGTTCCAGACACCCACAACCACAACCCTGTCACCAGAGCAGGAGCCAGCAGCTTTGCTAGGAGCAAGGTTGGCTATTAGGGTGTGTCTAAACTACATGGCTCCATCGATGGAGCCAAGTAGATTAGGCTGATCGGCAAAGGGAAATGAAGCCGCAATTTAAATAATCGCGGCTTCATTTAAATTTGATGTTTTTCCCAACTCAGGACTCTTGTGTGTCAGTGCATATCTCTAAGGGTACGTCTAAACTACATGGCTCCATTGACGGAGCCATGTAGATTTGTTTGTTTGGCAAAGGGAAATGAAGCCGCGATTTAAATAATTGCAGCTTCATTTAAATTTAAATGGCTGCCGCGCTGAGCTGACAAACAGCTGATCAGCTGTTTGTCAGCTCAGCGCGGCAGCCATTTAAATTTAAATGAAGCTGCAATTATTTAAATCGCGGCTTCATTTCCCTTTGCCAAACAAACAAATCTACATGGCTCCGTCAATGGAGCCATGTAGTTTAGACGTACCCTTAGAGATATGCACTGACACACAAGAGTCCTGAGTTGGGAAAAACATCTGACCTTGATGAAAAACCATAGATTTGGATCTTGATTCAGCTCTGAGATTCTCAGCAGAATTTCTTTTTTGTATTACTAACAGTCCTTCTGTGCGTCAGTGTTTTGCACTCCCGGTACAACTGAGGGATTAATGTGCAGAAGATTGGGCCTCACATCTGGGGTCTAGCCTTGGTGACAAAGCATGGAAACATGAGCCACATTCTAAGGAGTGGCCCTGAAAAGCTGCACTGCAGTAGCCATTTATAGAAAGCCTCTGGCTCCCTTCCCCTGCATGAGAACAATGAGGTTGGCATTAAACAGTGAAAGGCCAGATGACTCTTTTCTGTGTATCCAGACATGAGAGGAGGTAACCCTGTGTCTGCTGGAGAGAGGAGGTAACCCTGGAGAGTCTGCTGTCTACCATGAGACTGAGGTAACTAATGCGACTAGGATTTTCGCCCAAACTGTTCATTTAGCCCTGCCCTACAGTATTAGTGCATCTGGATCTGTTCTGCACTGTGGAGTGGGTAGAACTTACCTTTTGTTTTACGCAACTGCTGGCATTCTGGGGAGAGAAGGAGAGCAGACCATCATGGATGAGTGTGGGTAGTTCCAAGCAGAGTGACATAGGGCTGTTTCAACTGCTGGGAGTGAGCTCTCCAGTTTGGGCAGGCAAGCCCCAGTTAGTTCTGCTCCAATCTATGTGCTAAAATTCACAGGGCTGCATACCATCCCACATGATGTCCCAGGGAAGAGCCTGAAGGCTTGGGACCAGACCTGCCAATGGTGAAGGGAGAAAGAGGACAACTTCCCCGGGGCCATCAATTCAAAAGAGCCTGGAGCTCACAGCCCTCTAAATCCCTGCTGGAGCACGATACAGTTCACTCTAGTCAGTGAACTGGCCCAGTGCTGAGAGCTGCCTGGGGGAGGCGCAGCAACACCTGGTGGTGCTTTGGGGTGCCTAGAAAAGGCCAGCCCCAGGTCCGCCACTTCTGCCCAAGGTCCTGTCCCTTCTGGGGTGCAGGGAAGGCCCATGAGTAAGGGGGTTGGACTCTGGCAAGGCTGTTGGCCCCGCTTCCTGGGACCACAGGGAAGCACATGGCTCTGGGTCAGGCTGGCCTCAGCCCTCAGAAGTGGGGGGGGGGGGCGCACAGGCTCCTAATAACAGTTTCACCCTGGAGCTCTTGTACACTTGCAGATACCTCAGCGGGGGAGGGGAGATGGCAATGTTTCTGACTCAGGCTTAGAGGGAACCAGCTCTCAGCACTTCTCCCATCAGGCATCAATCTGTCCCCAGCCTGAGACCACCGTGCTCTTCTCATCAGAAGTACCTGTGTGAGAGAAGCTCTGCCTCTCCCCCAGCACATATCTGTCCCATCTCCCTGGCAACTGTGCCTAGAGTGGGATACAGCCATTTCTTTCCCAATGCAGTGCCTGGCTGGGGAGGCAGCAGTGGCCTGTCCGGTCTACTCCCCAGTTGGGCCCATCTGCTATAAGCAAGCTAGTAAAGTGTCAGGTGGAAGGGGCAGCAGGAGAAGTACAAATGTCCCTCTCAGCTCCATCAAGCTGTGCCAAACAAGCCCTGCAAAAGCAGCTTAGATCTTGAATATACCTGTGGGGCATATGACTAATGTGCCACCCCCTCATGTGTCACATCTCTCCCATCCAGTGACTTGTGAACAGTCCCAGAACACAAAGCTCAGCTCTGACAGAGGACTCCAGTCCTAACAGCTGATCTGTGGTACTCATGGGTTTCGTCTACACTGCAGGCTTTTTGCGCAAGAACTGTTTTGCACAAGAGTTCTTGTGCAAAAGGTCTTCCACAAGAGGGCGTCCACACTGCCATGTGCTTTTGTGGAAGAGATGTGCTTTTGCGCAAGAGTGTCCATGGCAGTGTAGACGCTCTCTTGCACAAGAAAGCTCTGATGGCCATTTTAGCTATAGGGCTTTCTTGCACAAGAAACCCCTATTGCCCATCCACAATACTTTCTTGTGGAAGAGCTCTTGAGCAAGAGGGCTTATTCCTCATGGGGAGAGGAATAACTCTTGTGCAAGAAGCCCTGTTTTCCAACGCTTTACTGTAAATTTACTTGAGCAAGAATGCGCGTTCAGTGTAAAGGCTCTGCAAGTTTTTGCACAAGAACAGCCGTTCTTCCGCAAGAAGCCTGCAATGTAGACATAGTCAGGGTGTCCTGATTGGTTACCTGCTTCTATTAAAGGCACTTACCTGTAACTGTTTTTTCCCTGATTAGCACTGCCTCCCCTCTGCAAAGGACTCCTGCTCTCTGACTGATCTCCTGGTAACCTGACCTACTGCTTCCTGACACCCGATTCTCCTGCCCTTCTACACTGTCTGGACTCTGATCTCTTTGTGGACTCACCTGACCGGCTTCTGGCTTTTGATTCTTACATAGGCCACTACACTGGATCTCCCATATCCCACATTTTTCAGTGTGTATGCTCCATGCAGGCCACAGTGTTGGGAGAAGAGATCCAGCTACCCACGTGCTGCTCTCTGGAACACCAGACACACTTCCTACCCTCAAGCAGATAAGCTGTCAAGGCCAGTTTGTCCAGCTGACCTTGTAGAACCAGCTATTGGAGGAGCAAGTCAGAGAGCTGTGTGTGGAAAATGCTAGACTCCAGAGATCAGCCACACAGCCCTGTTCTCTGATACATCTGTCAGAATGGATAGCAGGCAATTCCCAGTAACTCTGGTAGATTCTAGATTCTAACCAATATTGCCCTCTGTTCATAATGCATCCTCAGTCCTACCCTACTGATCATGCCAAGGTGAGCCCCTACCAGTGACCTGGCATGTGTTTTGTGTACAAAGTCATGCTATGTGGAGGGCACCATACAGAACCCTGGGCAGCACTGAGTTATCACCGCCTCCTTCTGTTGCCCCCTTCTGTGGCAGTGTCCTCTATTTGAAACCAGAAACATGCTAACCCTTGCTTGGAAGCTCTGTTTATTTGACGGCTGCACTAGAAGGGGGGAAACAGGACAGGACTGAAGCTTGGGATATCAAGGAAGCAGTGGAACGGGCAGAGGGATGCCAAAAGAGCTGGGGCTAGGGAAGGAACTCAAGGGTGTAAAAGCACAGAGACACATTTACCAGGGATTATCCAAGTACCTGTTTCCAGCTTTTGGATATTATTCTCCTGAGTCGCTGAAATGGAGAAGAGAAAAGAGTTAAACACAAAGATGGGCTGTAACATGCTGTGTCTAAGACTGACTGGAGTTAGTTACTCCACCCCCATAGCCATAACCCCGGCCCCAGGGCAAGAACCAGCAGCTCTGAAAGGCACCAACACACAGAAGACCTGGGATTTGCAAAGCATCTAACCATGAGGGCAGATGTGGGTCTGGACCCTGATACAGCTCTGACATTCCCAGCCCTTCTGTCTCAGGCGAAATCCTTGTCTGTGCTCCTGACAGCCCTTTGGGGCATCAGAGCTCCGCACTCCAGGTACAACTAGAAGATGGACGTGCAAGTGATCAGAGCTCACATCTGGGATTTGGCCTCGGTAATAAAGCACGGACATATGAGCCACATTCCAAGGAGTGGCCCAGAAGAGCCTGCACTGCAGCAGCCATCAATAGAAAGCATCTGGCTCCCTTCCCTGCATCAGAACAACAGCGCTGAGGGGGACTGGAGTGATGAATGGGACTCCGATTTCAGCCCAAACTGTTCTCTCAGCCCTGCCTTGCAATGTCAGTGCTTCTGGATCTGCTCAGCAGCATGTGAGGCTGGGAGCCTCTGCCCAGGGGCTTTCTAAAGGGAGGTGGATGGACTTACCGATCTTTTTATGCAGGTATTGGAATTCTGGGAAGAGAAGGAAGGAGACCATCAAGAATGAGCGTGGATGCTTCTATGCATAGTGACATTGATCCATTCTGTGCACCTGTGCCCAAAGTAAGCAGTGCCCTGTCCTGTTTGATCCCTGCCCAGGTTCAGATGCCAGGAGCAAGGACCAAGTGAGCTGGAAATATGTTGAGAAAAAGGGGCAACTAGAGAAGTACAGAGTGCCCCTCTCTTCCCTTACAAGCTGACCCAAGAAGCTCAGATCTCACAAAAGACTCCTGTCCTAGGAGCTGATTTGTGGTACTCTAGGGGTCTGTCTAGACTACATGGATCTGTTGCCAGAGCCATATAGTCTAGACATACCCTAGGAGTCCTGATTGGTTGCCTTCTTCTGCTGAAGGAACTCACATGTGCATCTGGGGATCAACTATTTAGTAGCCGACAAACAGCTGATCAGCTGTTTGTCGGCTACTAAATAGTTGATCCCCAGATGCACATGTGAGTTCCTTCAGCAGAAGAAGGCAACCAATCAGGACTCCTAGGGTATGTCTAGACTACATGGATCTGTTGCCAGAGCCATATAGTCTAGACATACCCTAGGAGTCCTGATTGGTTGCCTTCTTCTGCTGAAGGAACTCACATGTGCATCTGGGGATCAACTATTTAGTGTTGGAGCATAAGCTTTCATGGGCAAAGACGATCTTCAAAAGCGACAAGAAGTCCTGTGGCACCTTAGGGTATGTCTACATTAGCTCATTAATTCGAGCTAGGTAGGCAAATGAGGCAACTGGAGTTGCAAATGAAGCCCGGGATTTAAATATCCCGGGCTTTATTTGCATGTTCCCATCCGATCGCCATTTTTAAATCCCACTGGTCTGAACTAACTGCCCGCGGCTACATGCGACAGTCAAACATTAATTCGAACTAAGTCTTTAGTTCGAATTAACTGTTACTCCTCATGGAATATTTAAATCCCGGGCTTCATTTGCAACTCCAGTTGCCTCATTTGCCTACCTAGCTCGAATTAATGAGCTAATGTAGACATACCCTAAGGTGCCACAGGACTTCTTGTCGCTTTTGAAGATCCAGATTAACATGGCCACCTCTCTGATATTTAGTATCGCTTCCCTTGGGCTAATTACTCCTGCCTCCTGACTGATCTCTGCTTCTTTGTCTGCCCTTCCATGTGGTCTCAACTCTGATCTCCTGTTTGCCTGACCTGGTTCCTTTTCTAACTTCTACACCTAACTTCCCACATCCTACTTCTGCATGGATAGGAGCAGCCCAGTAGTGTGAGATTAGATCCTGCTATCTCTGCAGCACCAGAGATGCTCATGGTCTCTGCCTTTAGACAGAGAAGCAAGTCCTGCAGGCCTGGGTTTCCCAACTGACCTCGGATAACCAGCTATTGCAGGAATTAGTAAGACAACTGTGTGCAGAAAATGCATAATTCCAGGCAACCTGTTCTCCAATACATCAGCCTGAGTGGTTTGAATGTAACTCCTAGAAACTAGAGGTGTTGGGGAAGGGGAGTTTACTAACAAATGGCATCTACTGTTCATGAGATATCCTCAGTCCTGTCTTACTAATTGTGCAAAGATAAGCCTGGTTATCAACCTGCTATTGAGGAAACCTAAGACTGGGGCTCCTTTCTTGGAGGCCAACAGCCTAATGCAGTCAAACAGTGAAGTTGTTCTCCAAGCCATGTCAGTTCTATTGCAATATCTGCATCAAGCTTGAACAGTGCAGGCTGCCATGGGTCAGGAATTACTCTCTTCTCTGCAGCTTATGTTCATCACATCTCTGCTGATAGGAACATAAAATACCTATTAACAGTGTTCCCTCTAATTTTCCCTCTGTGTGCAGAATAAATTTTGTTATATGAACCAAAGCATGTGTGGATGTGTACCACCAGTAGAAACAAATTCTGTTGGCTATGGGCACTCTGCTAATCAGCTGGTCAGCGTTTGAGTCTAAGAAGTGCTCAGCTCAAAAGGAACACTGCTTATTAAAAGCAAAAGTCTTAAACCAACTGTATCACCAATGAGCCCTTTTCTTTTGAGATGTGATTTCCTCTTCACATTGCTTCAGAACCAAAAATAATAAGGCCAATACCCTGTCTCATAGCTTATCACTTGGATATACTTCCAAAAATATGCTCTGTGTCTCTGTGACGGGGTAGAGCGTCTCTTCCCGGCCGAAGCTGATCCACCCCGCACTTGCACTCCTCGGGATTGGACGGAGAGCACTGATCAGCTGTGCTCATTGCTCAGCAGCAGCGGTGCAGCTGACGGGCAGGGGAGGGGTGAGCGCGGCGTGTCGGACAAACCTCGGAGCACGCCGAAGGCAGGGGGATGCCCTGATCGCTGGCGGTCTCAGTGGGTGATGTCAGCAAGGCGACCGGCAGACAGGGATTAAAAGGGCACCCGGACACAGGGAGAGGGAGGAAGAAGGGTGGAGGGTGAAGATGCCGCTGGAACTAGGGGGGTAGGAAGCAGCCCAGGGCAGGGCCTGTAGGTAAAAAGGGCTGGCGGGCCGGTGAGTTTCGGGCCATCCCCCACCGGCCGGACAGGGCAAGGTGAACCTGTCCTAAGGGCCCTGGGCTGGGGCCCGTGAGAGAGGGCGGGCCCAGGCCTCCCTACCCCACGTTCCTGGACGGGGAAAATGACGGAGTCTGGAGTCAGGACCACCACTCGCCTTCAGAGCAAGCAGTGAAACAGACATAAAGACAAGCACAGGGGCGAGTGTAAGGTTGCCCATGTACAGTCTCCCTTAGGAATTCTGCCTAGGAGCAAGTCATTGTCCACAAAAAATTGCACAACTCCCAGGAGAGGACCAGGGCCAGCAACATTTACAGGCTTTAGGAATGCTATGAATTTTCTCTAGTGGGATACTTGGGGAGTTTAAGACCTAACAATTGATATCCCATGGCCATGGATGTGCTTCGTAATGCAGACATTTATTGCCTTCTGTGATGATTGTGCGTATGCCAAGATGACATCTACAGCCATCTTCAGCCTCTCGGACAGCCTATCACTGTAGATTTAATTGCAGAATTACAAGAGTCTAAAACATTTACAACATCCCTGACAGGTGTAGACAGACACTTTCTAAAAATGTCCCTCTTTAGCCCTGCTCAGCATAGTAAAGGACTGGCCCAACTATATATAAACCATGCAGTCCACCTGCACAGCTTTCTAGAAAACATCACCTCTGTTTAGGGGGTCTCAATTCATGGCCTGGTTTGGTTATGAGGCCCTATACCTGATGGGAGTCCACATGGGTCTTTTCTCTACTCACCCTCCCAAATCCAGGAGACAAAAGGAAAGGACCAAGCAGATCCTCACACTGTAGCTGCTATTATACATGATTGTTATTGGCTTCTCCCTTCTTCAGAGTTTATATATAACAACACAGACCATTCCTCTGTGAGTCAAAGACCTTTTTCTGTCAATTGTGGGTATCCCCTCTGAGTCCACCTACAACTATCTATGTCCTCTCTGACTCTGATCACCTCAGACCTAAAACAGCAGATTCATCAGGCCCATGAGGGAAGAAACACCTTGAATAAACAAGAGCAGGCTGTAAGTGGTATGGAGACCACCACTGAGAGCATAGCTCCACATACTTAGTGACAGAGCCATCTCTCGAGGATAGTGAACTGTGACGCCCATGCTGAGTGACATGTTTTGGAGGGTCCTGCAGCAGGAGAGGAGTTGCCAGTGGAGGATTCTGTACAGGGGTCGGCTTAGGGCAGAGCAGGGGGCAGGGCCATCGTTCATGCACAAGGGTAGCTTCCAAAACACATGCTCAGCCTCCCTAAATGCCTATGTCCTGATACCTGAGTCCTGTTCCCACCACTAGGCCTGACCACCCACATCCTGGTCTAGCATGCTGTAACTGCCCTGTGTGGATATAGCTGGTGTGCACTAAACAGTATCTAATTCACACTAACATGGGCCTCTTTAAATAGGAGTATGTTAATGTGAACTAGGAACCTTTGAATTTATACCCACAGCATCCACACAAGGGTGGTTACAGGGCAGCACTTTTGTGCATACTGATGCTCTTATCTCCATAATCAGAGCCATTGGACAGTGTAGACTTATCTTAGGTCTCATCATCCCACGTGTATTTAATTCAATCTGTTGTTAAGGATGATACTGAAATCTGAGCAGAAAACTGTGCCCTAATTGTTACTTCCCAGGGCAGGGCAGGGCAGGGCAGGGCAGAAGGGTGATCACAGAGATAACTCAGGTCCATACATTATCTAGAATATTTTTCTGTGTTGTTATAATATGAAAGCACCAACACATTTACTAGGAGGTTTAGCCAAGTACCTGATTCCTGTACCTTCCTCTTATCACCTGAAATAGGGAGGAGAAAAGAATTAAAGAAGTGCTCCATAATGACTGGGGTTAGGTACACAGACACCCCACAGCCACACTCCAGCCTCAGTGCAGGAGCCAGCAACTTTGATATGTCATTTAGTAAAATACCCACTAAAATGCAAGAGCCCTGGATTTAACAAAACATCAAATCTTGATGGAAGCGTCCAATTCAGCTCTGACAGTCTCAACCCTTGTGTGCCAGGGGAAATCCCTTTGTGTTACTGATAGCCCTTTGGAGCATCAGAACTCCACACTCCAAGCTTAACTAGGATCTGGCCTTGGCTACAATGCATGGAAACATGAGCCCTTCCAGACCACAGAGATTGTCAAACAAACAAGAGAGTCCTAGACCACAGGGGTTCAACCTCTAGAACCAAGAGAATTGCCTACACCAGCGTTTCTTCAACCGGTGTGCTGCAAGGCAGTCCGAGGTGTGCCGTGGAGATATGATGACCATATGTCCCCTTTTTTCCAGGACAGTTGCAGATTTAAAGACACACAGCGCTAGCGCTAGCATGGCGCGGCGCAGTGCAGCAGGAACTCCCCACCTCCCTTAGTAAGCGGCTCCCTTAGTGCTTTGCACGGGCAGCCAGGGCCGCTGTAGGTGGTGCGCAGTGTCCAAAGCACCAAGTTCACATGCAGCACACGCCGCTGTCTGGCAACCCCTCCTCCCCTGTGGCCCTTCCCTCCCACTGCAGGACTGCCTCCACCGTGCATCCCCACCCTGGCCTCCTCCATCCACAGGCATCTGCCACTGCTGTCAGAGAGGAAGGGGTGCTGGTTGGAGGGTCAATCCTGGTGAGCTGCTCCTGGGAACTGCCACCAGAGTCCCAGCTGGAGTGCTGCAGAGCAGGGTATGTTTGGGCTCTGCCGGTGTGCTCTGTGCATGGCCCTTTCTCCCCCGCCCTTCCCATCCCGCTGGGGGAGCAGCAGTGTATGGACCCACTCGCTCTGCCACACTCTGCAAGCCAAATCTGGGAGGGTGGGGGCTCTCCATTCCCTTCCCCCTGCGCTCCTCCTAATAGGAGCCAAAAGTGGTGTGGGGACTGGAATGCAGCACTCACATTAGCACCACGGATGGCTCAGCTCCAGGCCCGGCAAGCAGTCAGCCTTGGAAGCAGTTGGGGCCTGGGCTGTGGGGACTTCAGGAGCCCAACCACAGACTCCAACCCCCCAAACTGGAAGGCAAAAGGTGGGGGAGGGGCTCAGAGATAACTAGGGGGAAGGAGGGTGGGATAGGAAGGACCTTGTGTGGAGGGCAGGAGAAGAAAGGGGGAAAGCACCAAGGAGCAGGGTGGAGGAGAGACAAATGCCAGGGGGCCAAGTGGAGACAATGAGGAAAAGGGCAGGAGGAGGGAGGGGAGGTGTCAGTGGAGGTGGAAGGGTGGGGGGACAGGGTGATGCTGGGAGAGGAGAGGGGAAGGGCATTGGGGGCAAGAGGAATCAAAGGGAGGGGGAGGTGCTGGGAGAAGGGTTGACAGGAGGGGTGGGCATGACAAAGGTAAGGATGGAGCAAGTCATGCATGAGGACACAGAGGGGCATGAGAGGAACTGGGGCAGAGGGTGGTGAGGGGGTGGGCATCAGGGAAAAAGAGGGCAAGGGGGCAGTGAGGGAAGGAGGAAGCACCAGGAGGGTGCAGGGTTAAGGGAAGTTGCAGGTGACAGGGGATTCTGGGGGTGAAGCAGAAGGGCAGACACCTGCAGGGGAGAGACCAGCACCAGAGAGAGGGTTCGGTGGAGGACAAACTCATCCCCTATGGATAGGAAGATGGTGGGGAAAGTTCTTAGAGGGGGTTACTTTTACTTCTGATCATGAGTTCTGAGAGTCAGGGGCATAGTACACAGAGGTCAGGGGGTATAGGTAATGTGTCCCTAATTTTGGTTCAGAAAATATTCTCACACGCAGAGTGTTCCCCATAAAAAATAATTACTGTGTGGTGTTCCTCAGTCTTAAAAAGTTTAAGAAACGCTGGCCTACACTGAGACCAGTAATTCAGGCTGGGCGACAGCAGCTCTCAGAGGACTGGAACAGAGGATGGGTGCAGAAGGTAGCTCAGAATAGAGAATTAGGGTGCAAGAGAGGGTGTGGGGTTTGAAAGGGAGTTTGCATGAAGGAGGGAGTTGTGACCTGAGGCAGTGGATTGGGGTGCAGGGTTTGGGAGAGGATATGGGTGCAGGAGAGGATTCTGACCTGGGGGAGGGATGTAAGAAGGGGTGGGTTTGGGAGGGAGTTGTGACTTGGGGCAGAAGGGGTGGTAACTTTGGGCTGGGAGTTGGGGAGTGGGAGAGGCTGGGTTGGCAAAAAATGCTGCTGAAAGTTGCTCAAAACATCTAGGTGCTCCCTCTATGTGCTCCTCTGCTTTGTGCACCAGGGGAGTACTTCACACGCTGCTCCCGCCACCAGCTCAGTCATTGCAGCTCCCATTGGCCAAAAACTATAATGGTTGGTCTGAGGGCAGGAGCAGTGCACAACGTCTCCTGCCCTCTCCCTGCCCCCTCAGGGGCACATGTGCATAGAGAGGGCAGCCAGCCATTTTGAGCAGCCTGGGGCTGCAGCAGGCAAAGACCCTTCCTTGGGGTACTGATACGGGGGCTGAAGGCCAGATTAAAAGGCTTGATGGGCTGAATCCGGCCCATGGGCTATATTTTGCCCACCCCTGCTTTAATGAGAAAGAGCCACTAAAGGGGAACAGAATCTGGCTACAGATATATACTGCACTGCTTTTCTTGGATCCGAGAGACACTCCAGAAAAGCAATGCCACGTCCAGGGAACACGTCCGCTTTTTCGAAAGAATTTCCAAAAAGCTAAACTTGTTCATGAGGAATAAGGGCTGTGTCAAAAGAACACTTTTTTCCAAAATTTGGTACCTTGTAGATGCACCAAATTTCAGAAAAGCATCTTTCAACAGTAAAGCAGAAAAAGATATGCAATTTGTGTACTGCAAATTGTGTTTCTTTTTCCGACTCACCATTGCAGTGTAGACTTAGCATCTGACTCAGAGTTGCCACAACTAACCCGTCTCCCTGCCCCATTCATATACAGTGAATCTCACAAGCATGGATCCTTCAGTATCTGCTACAAAACACACATTTTCCAATTTTTTATCATCAGGGTGTGTAAGAATGTGGGGGAGAAGAAATTATTAGGCAAATACCATAGCTTTGTGACTTTCATTGCCCTGAGCCCACAGATACACCAAGCAGTTACAGAGCTCCCAACAAACAGAGCAAAAGACAGAGCAGGAGACCTACCATGAGTTAACGGAGCCTCCTCTTCAGAGCGTTTCTTCTGAGAGACCTTTCGCTTGGCTGTGGAACAGAGAATCAGACATTGCCGTGAGACAGGGAAGGAAGGAGACACTCTGAACAATTCACTAATACAGGTGGGGCTAGGTCCCTCGTGTGTTTGTTAGTTTGGTTAATCTCCTAAAACCAACCAAAGGTTAATATCTGAACAATAAGATACTCTCATGCCCCGGCCCATGGCCCTCTAACCAGGTAAATAATGCAGTCCCATTACCTGTGTATCCAAGATATGCACAAGCACCGACACCAATGAGAGCCAGAGCGAGCAATATCAAGAATGCAATCAGCCAGGGAGACACCTGGGGGAAGATGCCACCTGGCAAAGAGAGAGCACAGTGGGTGAGGAGTATGGTCCCATCCTAGAGCTGGAGAATGATATTTGCTTGACTTGACTGCTGAGTCCTGGCTCAAGCAGCTCCAGAAATGTCCTGTCCTGAAGGGAATGTCCCTTCCAGGCTGTGATAACAGTCACAAATGGGAGCTATTGACATCAGAGAAGCCAGCTCAGCGTCAGTCCCAAGAACCAGGATTCTGCTTTGCTCAAATCTTTCCCACTGCTGTAAGTCAATAGTCAAAGGCTCTGTGCCCAGCCTTCCCAGCCCTGTCTGCACCAGCTGTCTGTCTGGATGATCACTGTCACCATGGCCAGTCCAGATAAGTTCAGCAGAGAATAGTGTTTTTCTCCAGTTGGTCCCAGTGTGTTATGAGTTCATGGATTCAAAGATGTAAAGGCCAGAAGGAGTCATTATAACCATCTAGTCCAGTGGTTCTTTAAGTGTGGTCCATGGGCCTCTAGTGGTCGGGTTGCCCATCCATATAGGCAAACTAGGCGGTCGCCTAGGGTGCCAAGTTAAATGGGGCACTAAATTCAAGTGCAATATCGCTGAGGGGTTTGGAGGTGGAGGTGCTGATAGCACGGTTCGTCTAGGGCGCCAGTTGCTGGCAGCTAGTCTAGGGCCACCACTAATAGTGGTCTGCAACAGTCTTGCAGGTGGGCTGTGGGCTCCAGGTTTGACCCCCTAAAGTGCTGAGTCTGTGCTGGCACTCCAGCCCCACCTTGCCCTCATGAGGATGGAGTGCCTTTTCACTACAGGAGGGAGGGGGCAGGGCTAGCCTTGTGGGCTGGACCCAGCTTGTAGGGGGATGAAGTGGCTCTGTGTGCTGCTACTTCCCCTCCCACTGCCTGGGGGAATGACAGTGCAGGAAATGGCTCACCTGGAGGCTTTTCCCACTACTCCCATTGGCCAGAATCACAGGCAATGGGAGCAGTGGGCGGCAGCGCCTGAGAGTAGCAGGAGGTACAGAGCATCCAGACCATAATTTCTGTTCCAGACAGAGCAGATCTTGCAGAAAGAGACAACTAGTTTGGGTTGAAAGATTCCAAGTGATAGAGAATCCAACATGTCCATAGGTCAGTTATTTCAATAGTTAATCCCCTCACTCTTAAAATCTGCATCTTATTTATTTTCTGAATTTGTCTAGCTTTAACTTTCAGCCATTAGATCTTGTTCTGGTTTTACCTGCTAGATTAGAGGCTTATCTATGGTTAGAAATTTCCTCCCTGTGTAGGTACTTACAGACTGTGATCAAGTTACCTTTTAAGCTTCCCTTGGGTAAGTGCTATAAATTTAGATCCCTAAACACCATCTCTTGAATAAACTCTGTGGTTTTCAATCTATTTACCATTGTGAACTATATGTTCAGCTTTCTCTATGTTATGTGAACTATATCCACACAATCTATATACTACCTGTATGGCTCCTAGGATGTCACCTGGGCTGCAGCTGTGTGTTGACTGGGTCTCAAATGGCCCATGGGTCACAGGTTGAGAACCACTAAACTATATACATTGAAGTCAGACGCTGAAGTAGGTTTCCTGTTCTCTAATCAGTCCTCTGTCTATCTCCGGCGCACTTTCCAATTTGTCATCAGCACATTTGAAAGTTTGGACACCTGAACTGGACACAGTATCCAGCAGCAATTTGTTAAAACCACACACAGAAGTGATATCACCTCCTTTCTCCTGTTAGCTATTGTCATTTTTATATTGTGACAAAACTCTTACTACAGCTTGGTGGGTACCATGTTTTCTGGTAGATTGCTTGCCTCAGAGGCTTGCAGCAGCCCTCAGTTTAAACAACAGCTTGCTGTTTGTTGAGCTACTCTCATCATTGGTCCATATGGGGAAAAGGAGGGAAACCAAACTTCATAGTTTCTGACACACATCCAAATGGTATAGGGGAGGACAAACCCCTTTTTCTAAAACCAGTCTTTTTCCAGTGTTGAAATGGGGAGATGGGCCACCCTCTACACTAGGTTCCAGCCCAGGGACACTGTGGGTACGTCTAGACTACATGCCTCCGTCGACAGAGGCATGTAAATTAGGCTACCCGGCATAGGGAAATGAAGCCACGATTTAAATAATGTTTGTCGGCACAGTGTGGCAGTATGGATGCTCCCCCCATTGACATCAAAGCCCTTTGTTGACCTCTCCGTTATGCCTCGTGGGATGAGGTTTACTGGAGAGGTCGACAAAGAGCTTTGATGTCAACAGGGGAGCGTCCAGACGGCCGCGCTGTGCTGACAAACAGCTGATCAGCACAGCACGGCAGCCATTTAAATTTAAATGAAGCGGCGATTATTTAAATCGCCGCTTCATTTCCCTTTGCCGGTTAGCCTAATTTACATGCCGCTGTCGACGGAGGCATGTAGTATAGACACACCCTGTGATACCAGCTGCCTGTAATATCTCAAGTATCAGCTGTGTGACATCTATGAATCTCTGGGCTACTTCCCATGGCCTTCCCTAGCATTTTCTTTACCACAGGTTCTTCCTTCTAGTACCTGCTTGTGCTTGCCCGCTCCTATATCCTCCACAGCTCCTTCTTTCCTCCGCTCCTCACATACACTGAGCTATCAGCAGAGGAGCTCCCTTTAATGAGCCTCAACTGGTTCTTGACTGGCCCCAGGGGTTCTGATTAGTCTGACTCACTTGACTCTGGAAACCTCCTAATTGGCTCTTGGTGCTTCAGTTGGCCTGATTGATTCTAGCAGGTTCCTGCTGGATCTGGATTAGCCCTTGCTAGTTTACCCTGGGAACAGGGACCCTGTTCAATCTGGGGTTAATATGTTTCCTCTCCACCACACTTCTGTAGCCCTTTGACCTGACCCTGTAACAATACACAGAGTTGCATTCAGCATTGCTCTGGGAGTACACGTTCAAGCACTTTTCAGAGTCCCTGTTTTCTATGGGTATGTCTACACTACCACCCTAGTTCGAACTAGGAGGGGGGTAATGTAGTCATACGAACTTGCAAATGAAGCCAGGGATTTGAATTTCCCGGGCTTCATTTGCATGTTGCCAGGCGCTGCCATTTTTAAATGTCCACTAGAGCGGACTCCGTGCCCACAGCTACACGCGGCACGAACTAGATAGTTCGGACTAGGCTTCCCATTCCGAACTATCTGTACGCCTGAGTCTCCCATCCTGTGACCTACGCTCTGTTCATAGATGTGTGTCCTGGCATTTGGCCATATTGAAAAGCATGTGTGGGATTCTTTGTAATATTTTTTGAAGGTCATATGTTATTTTCTCCCTGGCTACGTCTACACTGGCACCCTTTTCCGGAAATGCTTAAAACAGAACAGTTTTCCGTTATAAGTATTTCCGGAAAAAGAGCGTCTACATTGGCAGGATGCTTTTCCGGAAAAGCCCTTTTTCCGGAAAAGCGTCCATGGCCAATGTAGATGCGCTTTTCCGCAAAAAAGCCCCGATCGTCATTTTCGCGATCGGGGCTTTTTTCCAGAAAAGACTACTGGGCTGTCTACACTGGCCCTTTTCCGGAACAGTTTTCTGGAAAAAGGACTTTTGCCCGAGCTGGAGCAGCATAGTATTTCCGGAAAAGCAGCTGATTTCTTACAGTAGATCGTCGTTGCTTTTCCGGAAATTCAAGGGGCCAGTGTAGACAGCTCACAGCTTATTCCAGAAAAGCGGCTGCTTTTCCGGAATAAGTGTCCCAGTGTAGACACAGCCCCAGAAACTTCAATGTTACCTACTAGGGGAATAGGTCTGTTTGATCTCTGGGCAGTATAAAAGATAGGCATGAATGGTGGCTAGCTGTCTGAGCCCTAGGTCCCATATTAATGGAGCATTTGGGAAGACAATGGCTGATCTAGTCACCAAGGCTTTCCATTAACCTAGGTATAACCTCTCAGATAGGTGAATTTACTACAGCCAAGGAAGAATGCTTTCTGTTGCTGAAGTGTTTACACCAGAGCACTGCAGCTGTAGCATTGCTCACGTAGACATACCGAGTCTATTAGACCAGCCCAGTTACTTGTATCAACAAAACACATCACCTCCTCAAAGAATGCTACTGAGTTCATTTCACAAGACACAACCCACCTCCTGACCAGCAGTTTGTCCAGATTTCAGAAGCCTCCATTGCTAATGGCTTCACAGAATAGGTGAGAAGGATGTTTCCTGTCTCAGTACCAGAAACAGGCTCTAGCTTAATGTGATTCCCAAGTGATGCCAATCCCTCCCCCGCAAACATATGCACACACTCGCTCCCATGATTCTGCATGGGGGATTTCACCTGTGAGATGAATGGCCGATTGTCGCTCGGGTTCCAGGAGGCCATTCTGCACTATACAGCTGATGTCTCCACTGTTTTCCTTTTCTGTGACAGTGATGTAACTCACAACACTGTACAGGTTCTCCGTGTCCTGAGTAACATCGGTCACAAATTCCATCTCCAGGTTCTTCCCAACCCACTGGAGTTCAGGTTTGGGGAACCAGCCTGTGGATCTACAGGCCAGCCCGATCCCACTGTTCTGAGGACCTAGCACATCAATGAACACTGGAGCCACAGCTGCAAGGAGAGACAGAGAGTGTGTGTGTCAGGGAATTAGGTCTTTAATAGCACCATGGGATTCCCAGCTTACTAGATACAGGGGGCTGTGCCTGGAAAGCTCCATTCTTTCCCTTGTGTACAAAGTCTGGGATCCCTCAGCCTTATGACTGGGGAAATTAAATAATACATAATGCATTACATTTCCATAGAACACTACATAAGAACGGCCATGCTGGATCTGACCAAAGGTCCATCTAGTCCAGTGTCCTGTGTTCTGACAGTGGCCAGTGCCAAGTGCCTCAGAAGGAGTGAACAGAACAGGGAATCCTCAAGTGATGCCTCCCCTGTCACCCATTCCCAGCTTCTAGCAAACAGAGGCTAAGGACAGCAGTCCTGCCTGTCCGAACTAATAGCCACTGGTGGACCTATCCAGCCTCACAGTCAAAGGTGCAAGCTTAAACTGGTCACGGAGGGTATGTCTAGACTACAGGGTTTTGTCGACAGAAGTTTTGTCGACAGATACTGTCAACAAAGATTCTGTCGACAAAGAGCGTCTAGACGACATCCAGTTCTGTTGACAAAGCAAGCTGCTTTGTCGACATGACAGTGTGGATGCAAAGGACAGTGTAGATGCAATAATGTCTTCTATCAACAGAACTCTGTCGATAAAAGGCGTTATTCCTCGTAGAATGAGGTTTACATAGGTCGACATAACTCAAAGGCAGTGTGGACGCAGGTATAGTTTTGTCGACAAAAGTCCACTTTTGTCGACAAAACTCTGTAGTGTAGACACACCCAAAGATTGCTGCATCTGATGGTGAAATGAAGCCTCCTTTGGAGGGGAGCCCAACAGCTGTCAGTGTCACTTCAGTAAATGGCAGGAAATGAGGGGTGATGACCCCACCTATATCATTGTTCTAATTCCTCCTGTGATACCCTCCTAAACACTAGGGATACGTCTAGACTGCAAGCTTCTTTCGAAAGAGAGCATCCACACTTCAAAAGCGGGTCAAAAAAACAATCTGCTTTTGTGCAAGACAGCGTCTACACTCATTGGATGCTCTCTTAGGGTACGTCTAGACTACAGGCTTGCCCTGGGTGCCTGCAGCTTTAAGAGCAGGCTGGAGACAGGAACTATAGATCTGTGATTAGTGTGGACGGAGCGTCCACCGGGGCACTTGTGCTTTTTCCTAGAAGCCTCTTTTTTTGAAAGAATTCCCTCTTCCGTATCCATACACTCCTTTTTCAGAAAGAGCTTTTTTGGAAAAGGTGTTCTTTCTTGTAGAATGAGGTTTACCAATGTCGGGAAAATCCCTGCATTCTTCTGATTTTCTTTCAAAAGAATGCAATTGCAATGTGGATGTAGGTGAAGTTTTTTTCAGAAAAACAGCTGTTTTTCTGAAAAAAAACCTGTAGTCTAGACGCACCCTATGTCCTTGACTGTCCTTCTCTCATACTGGTAACAGTGCCCAGATCAAGTCATTCTAATTTTTGGATTTCTCTTTTCTGCACACAACCACCCTTCCCTCATTTAAATCTCTCCCTAAAAGTATCTGTCTCTTGTGGAGGTTTTGAACTAGTCATCACAAAAGATGGAAGATTATTTAAAAGAATCTTACGGCTCTGCATTATCAGACGAGGGCCCCTCATGTGGGGCTTGATGTGTGTGAACTGCACTGTCTGGGGCTACATTACTCAGGGTATGTCTACACTACCCCCCTAGTTCGAACTAGGGGGGTAATGTAGTCATACGGAGTTGCAAATGAAGCCCAGGATTTGAATTTCCCGGGCTTCATTTGCATAAAGCCGGCCGGCGCCATTTTTAAATGCCGGCTAGGTCGGACCCCGTGCCGCGGTTTGGATTAGGCTTCGAACTAGGCGTGGAATGAGGTGTAAAGCTAGTTTGGATTAGGAAGCCTAATCCGAACTAGCTAGTTCGTGCCGCATGTAGCCGCGCGGCACGGGGTCCGACCTAGCCGGCATTTAAAAATGGCGCCGGCCGGCTTTATGCAAATGAAGCCCGGGAAATTCAAATCCTGGGCTTCATTTGCAACTCCGTATGACTACATTACCCCCCCTAGTTTGAACTAGGGGGGTAGTGTAGACATACCCTCAGTGAGCAGAGGGGACAAAGACCATCCCTTCCACTGCCCCTGTGCAGCATGGAACATGGGGGCAGGGTCCAGGGAATAACTAAAAATATCCCAGCCCTTGGATGCTGCAAGGGGAGTTCCAGGAAAGACAAATATAATCATCACCTGAGCTGGGATTTTGGCAGAATATGGGGACAAAGGTCCCAATGACCCAAACACTACAGCAAGGATGACAGCTGAGGGCAGACACTGTATATCTAATTGAGAATAGGTTGTTTAATGCAGCACTGATCCTACTAGAACCCCAATTGGGTCAGTGCTGCGTGCAAGGGGGCAGTGCATCCTACTGGCTATGTCTACACTGGCACTCTTTTCCGTAAAAGGGATGCTAATGAGACACTTTGGAATTGCAAATGCTGCGGGGGATTTAAATATCCCCCGCGGCATTTGCATGAACATTTTAAAATACCCCCGGCGGCATTTGCATGAACAGGGCTGCCACTTTTTTCCGGCTCGGGGTTTTGCTGGAGAAAAGCGCCAGTCTAGACAGGATCTTGCAGAAAATAAACCCTTTTCCGGAAGATCCCTTATTCCTACTTGAAAGGGATTCCTTGAAGGTAGGAATAAGGGATCTTCCGGAAAAGGGCTTATTTTCCGCAAGATCCCGTCTAGACTGGCGCTTTTCTCCGGCAAAACCCCGAGCCGGAAAAAAGTGGCAGCCATGTTCATGCAAATGCCGCGGGGGATATTTAAATCCCCCGCAGCATTTGCAATTCCAAAGTGTCTCATTAGCATCCCTTTTACGGAAAAGGGTACCAATGTAGACACAGCCACTAAGTCCTGAACAACAAACAGTTCCTGCAGTACAGGACCCTACTGCCCTGCTGGGATCAGTTTGGGGATCACCCGGGGGTATAGGAGGTTCTGGCTGGCCAGGGCCAATGTCCCTTACTGCCATGTCTCACCTGCAACCTGTAGCTCGGTGGTGGTTTCCTGGCTCCATTCTAGGTTCTTCACATAGCAGTGGTATCTCCCACCATCGGTCATTTGGAGCCGTTTCAACTTCAGGGAGACGTTCCCGTTGCTGAACTCCTGTGGGAACAGCTCCGTCCGGCTCTGGTAACCCTCCCCTGTCTGGTCCTTTGGACCCACATCTGAGTACTCATGAACTGGGATAAATTCTGTGCCAATTTTCCTCCACAACACTTCCATATTGGACAGTCGGGCCGGAGGTGAGAGCTGGCAGGGTAACACCACTTCCTGGCCAATGACCCCCACCACAGGGTGCTGGGAACCAGCTAAGGAGAACTTCTCTGCAACAGACAACCCCAGAAGCAGACTGAGTGAGAGAAAAGAGGACAGAGCATCGCTGATTCAGGGCCTAGCCGCAAAGACACACAGTGAGCGAGAAGAGAGGGCATCACTAGGCTAAATACAAAATTCCATCATTTGTGACTCATACGTGGTTCATGAGTTACCGTCCAGGCAAGTCTATGCTACGGCACTACATCAGCATCAATGCAAATGTGCCACAGTAGCATGTCTGGCGAAGATGCACTATGCTGATGGATGCTATATCAACTTGGGCGGCAGTGTAGTTTTGACTTCAGTGTGGACACAGGGCAATGTAGCTATGCCATGGCTGTCACAAGGTAGTTCTCTAGTGCTATCCTACAATCCCCCAGAAACTCCTCAAAGATGCCTGCCTTGCTCCCTACCTACACTTTATTGGCAAGGGATGGCCTCCACTGAAAGCTGCGTGTCAGTTCACAGCACCCTACACAGCCCCATGGCACCCAGTTCTGAGCTCTTTCCATTGCATGCACCTTTTTTGATGCAGCTGTTTCTGGTCCACGTCACCCCACACTAGCTGCTAAGAGGCCACCTCAGGGGGCTGCTTCCTGACCTGAGGATATCAGGTCTTTGATAGACTTGTGGGCTGATACACATCCCCTCCATGGATTCAATACCTAAAACAGAAACTGGTACTGATGGAGAATCACTGTTGTAAGGATTAATCTCTGGGCATAATTAAGCAACTGCATGTGATTTATATCTGCAACATAGCTGTAGCCAGAGGATCTCCATGGTCCTTTGTCCTATACATGTATTTTGGCCAACCTTCTGTCAGTTGAAACCTGATCATGGTGTTTGAAGGTTTGAGCTTGCCAATTCTGCAGCTCTCATTCATCCTAATGGGACCAGGCATTTCAATCCCCCAGGCAGTTGCAAAGGTCTCAGCCTTGGAGGCCATGAAAATCAGAATTTGGGGGCTCTGGAGCCTCTTCCAGGGGCAGCAGAAGTTGGGTGACTTGCTGCAAGATCAAACAATCCTTCCACCCAAAGCTAAGACATATCCCTGTTACCCTAACATTATCCCCCACCTCACTGACTCCAGCTATGTCAAGACTACAGAGTTTTTCCGGAATACCAGAGGTATCCCAGAAAAACTGTGCTGTGTCCAAGGAACGTGTCCACTTTTTTAGAACAGTTTCTGAAAAAGCAGACAGGTTCTTTCAACATCCCTGTATTCCTCTCAGTGAGAGGAGTGGGAAGGGATGTTCTGAAGGAAGAGGTTTTTCTGAAATTTGGCTGTGTGTAGACAGGCCAAATTTTGAAAATGCCTCTTTTGGAAAAAAGCAAAAAAAGATGCACAAATTTTGTGGGGGGTGGTTTTTTTAAACTTTTCTCAGCAGTCTAGATTTTGCCTTCTTGGCCTAATACTTTTTTTTTTTCAGAAGGAAGCCGCAGGAAATGGAAGGGTTACTGGCCTAAGCTCCCCCTACGCCCCCCTGCAGGGGGCAGTGAACGTGGGGACAGGGAGGGATGTAATGGGGATTCAAACGTTACCAGCGAGAGCACACGGCGCCAGGAGGAGGAGCCCCAGGCTGCACACACAGAGCCGCCATCGCGTTGCCATGGGAACATCCAGGCAGGGACCTGTCAGGAGAGAGCAGGGATGGTTAACACCCCCCAGCCTGCATGAGGGGGCTGGCAGGGCAGAGAACACGCCCCACCCATCCATCTTCTGACCCCCTCTGCTCCCAGGCAGAGCATCTCCCCAGGGACAGGAGAGGTTTCACCCCTCCCAGGCGGCTCTGTCCCCTGCCCAGGCCTGGCACTAGGAATTTGCACCACTGGGCAGTGCCGTGTATTCCCCCCTGGTTCTCTGGCCACCCATTGGGTTAAGTGCTCTCCAATGCCAGTGCAGGGTGAGCCTGCATCAGGGCAGGGCCTCTTCCCAGGGAACCCGGATAATAACCACACCACTGTTCAGCTCTACAGCATGAGCTAAAGTGCCAGGCTGTGCAGCTGGGGCTGTGACAGGCTCATGTACTGTGTGGATCAAGAGCAGAAGAGACTCATCTGGCCAACTGGTGACTTCTGGGCACCTTTGTACAGGGTCAGCCAGGACAGAAGTCTCTCACCCCTGTAAGTGATGTGGCCAAATGACAGAGATACGGCTGGCAAGGGCTGTCACGGACACCAGGGCTATGTCTACACTCGCGGCTTCTTGCGTCAGAAGTATGCAAATGAGGCTAAGCGTGGAATATCGCTGAGCCTCATTTGCATACCTAATGAGCTGCCATTTTTGCAGAAGAGGTTCTTGCACCAGAAGGCGCTGTCTACACTGTTCCCTCTTGTGCAAGAAAAATCCTCTTGTGCAATGCCATTATGCCAGTTATTTTCAGGAGTAACAGCATTACGCAAGAGGGGTTTTCTTGCAGAAGAAGGGACAGTGTCTTCTTCTGGTGCAAGAACCTCTTCTGCAAAAATGGCAGCTCATTAGGTATGCAAATGAGGCTCAGCGATATTCCACGCTTAGCCTCATTTGCATACTTCTGACGCAAGAAGCCGTGAGTGTAGACATAGACCAGGGGTATAAGCCCATGTTGAGGTGCCCAGCATACTGTCAGATACCTGCTACCCTACCTGTAACATCAGTGGATGCTATTACATAAATAGATGGTACACCACAGACATGCTCAGCTCCCAGACTACTGCACTAGGCAAGGTAGCATGGGAGGGAGGGAGGTAGCCCTCTGTGAAGAAAGAACAGGTTAAGAACTATTTAGAAAAGCTGGACATACACAAATTCAGGGGGCAGATTTAATGCATCTGAGGATACTGAGGGAGTTGGTTGATGTGATTGCAGAGCCTTTGGCCATTATCTTTAAAAATTCATGCAGATTGGGGGAGATCCCAGATGACTGGAAAAAGGCAAATGTAGTGCCCATCTTTTAAAAAGGGAAAAAAGGAGAATCCAGGGAACAACAGACCAGTCATCCTCACTACAGTCCCCTGAAAAATCATGGAAAGGATTCTCAAGGAATCCATTTTGAAGCACTTGGAAAAGGGGAATGTGGTCAGCAATAGTCAACTTGGATTCACCAAGGGCAAGTCATGCCTGACCAACCTGATTGCCCTCTATGATGAGGTAACTGGCTCTGTGGACATGGGGAAGATGGTGGACATGATATACATTGACCTTAGCAAAGCTTTTGATATGGTATCCCATAGTAAACTTGTCAGCAAGTTAAAGAAGTATGGATTGGATAATGGACTGTAAGATGGATAGAAAGCTGGCTAGATTGTCAGGCTCAATCGGTAGTGATCAACATCTTGATGTCTGGTTGGCGGTGAGTATCAAGTGGAGTGCTCCATGGGTCGGTTCTGGAGCCAATTTTGTCCAACATCTTTATTAATAACCTGAATGAGGGGATGGATTTCACACTTAACAAGAATACTAGGACTGGAAGGGACCTCAAGAGATCGTTGAGTCCAGCCCCCTGCCCTCATGGCAGGACCAAATACTGTCTAGACCATCCCTGATAGACATTTATCTAACTTACTCTTAAATATCTTAAATAAGTTTGCGGATGACACTAAGCTAGGGGGAGAGGTAAATATGCTGGAGTGCAGGGATAGGGTTCAGAGTGACCTAGACAAATTGGAGGATTGAGCCATAAGAAATCTGATGAGGTTCAACAAGGACAAAAGAATCCCAAGCATTGTTACAGCCTGGGGACCAAATAGCTAAGCAACAATTTGGCAGAAAAGGATCTGGGAATTACAAAGGATGAGAAGCTGGATATGAGTCAACAGTGTACCCTGGTAGCCAAGAAGGCTAATGGCATATTGGGGTGCCAAAGTAGGTGCATTGCCATCAGATCTAGGGAAGTGATTATTCTCTTTTATTCAGCACTGGAGAGGCCACATTTGGAGTATTGTGTCCTATTCTGTGCCCTTCATTACAGAAGGGATGTGGACGCATTGGAAAAAGTCCAGTGGAGGGCAACCAAAATGATTAGGGGGCTGGAGCACATGTCTTGCGAGGAGCGACTGAGGGATTTGGACTTATTTAGTCTGCAGAAGAGAAGAGTGAGGGGGGATTTGATAGAAGCCTTCAACACCCTGAAGGGAGGTTCCAAAGAGGCTGGAGAGAGGCTGTTCTCAGTATTGACAGATGGCAGAACAAGGAGCAATGGTCTCAAGTTGTGGTAGGAGAGGTCCAAGTTGGATATTAGGAAAAACTATTTCCCTAGGAGGGTGGTGAAGCACTGGAATGGGTTCTCTAGGGAAGGGGTAGAATCTCCATCACTGGAGGTTTTTAAGTCCCAGTTTGACAAAGCTCTGACTGGATTGATTTAGTTGGGGTTGAGCCTGCTTTGGGCAGAGGGTTGGACTCGATGACCTTCTGAGATCTCTTCCAGTCCTAGGATTCTATGATTCCATTTTTTTTCAAAAGCAGTAGAACATCTTTGTTTCACTGTTAGCAAAGAATGAAGAAAAGGGCTTTTCTAACATCTACAAGCAGAGACGAGGGAAGTGTGAGTCTTGTTTTAAAAGATTCCTCCTCCATTTTAGCATGAGCTGTATTTACATATCAACAGTTAAGTTTAGATCTTGCAGGTCTAAATAATTGAGTAAGCATGACCACACCCAGGGCTGCTCTCCCCCTTCAGCTGGCTGCAATGAAGGCAGTGGTTCAGACCCTGCTTACACATAAATATATTGATTGACTCTCTTCCAGGAAAACATTTCTAAAAGGGTTTTTCAATCTGGCTACATCTACACTGCAGGCTTTTTGTGCAAGAACAGCTGTTCTCTCGCAAAAACTTGTTGGATGTCTACATTGCATGCACGTTCTTGTGCAAGTAAATTTACAGTACAGCTTCAGAAAACAGAGCTTCTTCCGGAAGAGTTATTCGTCTCCCCACAAGAAATAAGGCCTCTTGTGCAAGAGCTCTTCCACAAGACGGCAGTGTAGACAGGCAACATGCAAAAGCACATCTCTTCCACTAAAGCACATGGCAGTGTGGACTCACTCTTGTGGAAGACCTTTTGCACAAGAACTCTTGTGTAAAACAGTTCTTGAGCAAGAAGCCTGCAGTGTATACCTAGCCTGTGTGTGTATCTAGTTTCACAATCAGTGATTCAAATGTGTTTGCCACTGAATGCCAATAGTCTGCCTACTACTGCAAACTAACTGCACATATCCCAGACTATAAAGCATCTTTTGAAATTTTAATCTGTCTGGTGCATAGAACTGCAATACTGGCTCTTGTATGAGTTGTTGTTTCAAGCCTTTCATTGGTTCCATCTGTTCTGCACCCTACTACCATTCATTTTTAATTTCCAAGAGTTGCCTCAAGGCCTCTGCTTTTGCAGACTTTTCCAAGATAATTAACCATTCCCAGGGGCCCAGATCTCACCTGGGGCCTCTAGGTGCTACTCTAGTACATGTGATAATAACAGCCAGTGAGGTGCCTTCCATTTACATCTGTGAACCAAATGACACCTCCCCACACAAATACACATGCTTCTAGCCTGGCAGCTCCTCCTGCTAGGGGCATCGGTCAGGCAGGGTTATGTGACTCTTACAAAGAGCATTACATCACCTGTACAACCCAACATAACCTCCAGGGAAAGGCCCCAAGGACCCCAGCTGGCCACACTGTGCAGTGAGGGAATAACAAGCTGGACAGTAACTCACATCCACCATTGGACTTTGTCCAGCACTAATGGAAGGTAGGAAGAACGATGGCAAGGGGGGGGTGTTCCCAGGGCACAGGAGTGTTGAGAGTGAAGGAAAGGGGGTAATAACAGAAAGGGACCTACCTTATGGACTCAGCATGTCCCAGGAGTTGCCAGGCAGCGATCCAGGGGTCCGGCTCCACACCGAGCGCCCAAGGAACTGGACTGATATGCTGGGGCAGGTAGGGAAATGGATCCCGGAGCTGTGTGTGAACCCTGTTCGGGGAAAGTGAAAGCACCAGGGCACCTGTCACACATTAACCTGGGTATTGCAACAGAGGCATAATCTGGCCAAGAACCAAGGCAGATGTTCAGTTCCCTACAGAGACACAGCGAGCAATGAGTTGTTCATACTATAGGGCTGTGTCTAGACTGGCAAATTTTTCCGCAAAATCATCTGCTTTTGTGGAAAAACTTGCCAGCTGTCTACACTGGCCGCTTGAATTTCCCGAAAAGCACTGATGATCTCATGTAAGATCATCAGTGCTTTTCCAGAAATACTATGCTGCTCCCGTTCAGGCAAAAGTCTTTTTCCGAAAGACTTTTGCGCAAAAGGGCCAGTGTAAACAGCACAATACTGTTTTCCGCAAAAAAGCCCCGATCGCGAAAATGGTGATCGAGGCTTTTTTGCGGAAAACCGCATCTAGATTGGCCACGGACACTTTTCCGCAAAAAGTGCTTTTGCGGAAAAGCATCCTGCCAATCTAGATGTGCTTTTCCGTAAATGCTTTTAATGGAAAACTTTTCCGTTAAAGGCATTTTCGGAAAATCATGCCAGTGTAGACGTAGCCTAGATGTTAAATATCAGTTAACTGAATAGTCAAGTAATTCTTGAATTCTTAGCTGTTAGTCTATTCTATATTCCTTGGGGATGGGGCCAGCAGCCAATGCACCTCATTCCCAAGGAGCCCCTTGCCACTCCATGCTGCTGCCTCTAATCAGAGGCAGCAACATGGGGTGCCAGGCAGGAGCTGGTCTGCAAGAGGAGCCAGTTTAAAAACCAGCTCCCCTCACAGACTGGCAGCCTATCACCCTGTGCTTTGCCTCTGATACAGAAGCAACAGTGTGGAGTGGCAGCAGATCTTGTCTAGGGGGGTGTCTGAGCTCCCAGAACTGGCACTAGTCACAACTGAGCTGGGCTGCTGGCCAGCCTGCTAAAAATGGGGTGGGGCAGGGGGAGGGGGGCATGTAGTCTATAACATTAACCGATGAGCTTTTGCTTATCAGTTAATCAGTTAACTAACTACACCATTACATCCCTAGTTCATACAGTAGTGGGTTTTCTGTGCATTGCTTGGCAGGCCCATCGCATGACAGCACCAAGTACCAATACTCCCCCTCCTCCTGGATCTGTTCCTCATTCCCATCCCTTTGCCCCATTCCAAGCTATTCCTGGCCTTCATCCCATGCACAGAAAATAATGAGTCAGCGGTCTAAGGTTCAGTGCAAAGTACTGCAAGGATCTTGAACATGGGATAGGGCATGCAGGGTGTAACAGCGCCACTGACTTTGAAGGGGGCAGCTTTGTGATAGTGCTCTGCTCCTACTGGGATCAACAGCAGGGTATAAACCCAGGATCTTCAATGTCACAACACATGCTTGTGCTACTTCAGCTAAGTAACAAGCTCCGTTGACAGGTTTTATCTGCTTCTCATTAGGGTAACCCTACTTGGGTGGGTGCAGGGTTTGGGCCTGGCCCCTACAGAGCAAAATGCATAGGTCACAGCCACTGTGCTCACAGCCACCAAAAAGTGAGAGCTGCTCACATACCTAATTCCTGTTTGCTGTGCTATAGGAGCCCAGAAAGCCATGCTGGGCTAGTGGGGGGTACACATGAGAACTAATCCCACCCATCCAGCATCAGAGCCTAGTGTCTGGTTACATGTAGCTCACTGTAGCTGTTACGGGTGTGTGTGTGATGTCCAGACACTCCCTGCCCAAGGCTGATGGAAGAGTTGGCTCAGTGCCCATCTCACTGCCGGGAAGGGAGACTGCTGGGGGGAGGGTGTCACAAGGAAAGCCCTGCAGCAGTTCTGTGTCCCCAAACCCGGCCACTTGCAGGGGAAGTGTTCCTGAGAGATGAGATACTTCACACCCAGGGGGTCATGCACAGGCAGGCTCTGACCCTGGCCCTGCTCCCCTCCTGTAGCCCTGTCCCAGTCACCCTGTTCCATGCCTCCGGGCTGCCATTATGGGAAAGGGGATAAGAGAGATTCCAGTGAGTATCCTGCAGGAAACTGCCTGTCTCAGAGACTTAACCAGCAGATGGCCTCAAAAGGTTATTTACACAAGAACACACGTGCAGTGTAGATGCTCCACAAGTTTTTGGGCAAGAATAGCCCTTCTTGCGCAAAAAGCCTGCAGTGTAGACGAAGCCTTAAAGTACACCGGTTTTAAAATGGGCTCTTCATACTGCTCTCATATGCCTTGTAGTAGCAAATAGAACCCCAGGACCTCATTCTGCTAGGTGCTGTACAAACCCAATACTTGAAGACCATCACACAGACACACAGCCCATGTCACCTGGGATAGCAGCAGGGTTTGAACCAGAAAGTGTCAGATCTACCATTTAGGTCCTTATTAGATTAATCATATGAGTAAATACCAGACATTTTTTGGACTAGCCAATGGAAAAGGACATGACAAACACTTTCTCAGTGGGTTACACTAGTATTCACTTGTCTGCAGTAGGATATTGGTGATCAGGACTAGGGGGGTATGTCTACACTGCAGGCTTTTTGGGCAAGAACAGCTGTTCTTGCACAAAAACTTGCAGAGCGTCTACACTTCTCACGCATTCTTGTGCAAGTAAACTTGCAGTAAAGCATCAGAAAACAGGGCTTCTTGTGCAAGAGTTATTCCTCTCCCAACGAGGAATAAGCCTTTGCGCAAGAAGTTAATGTGGACATGGGGCAGGGGTTTCTTGAGCAAGAAAGCCCTATGTCTAAAATGGCCATCAGAGCTTTCTTGTGCAAGAGAGCGTCCACACTGTCATGGATGCTCTTGCGCAAAAGCACACGGCTGTGTGGACATGTTCTTGTGCAAGAGTTCTTGCACAAGAGCCCTTATGCAAGATGCTCCTGTGCAAGAACCAGACAGTGTAGACATAGGCTTGGGCTACGGCTATACTGTAGCCTTCTTTATGCAAATGACACATGGTGTGGAATATCACCGTGCTTCATTTGCATAATTAATAAGTAGAGGCTTTGTGGAAAAAGGGAGCTGTGTAGACAGTTACTTTTTGCGCAAAAAAACCTCTTGCACAAAAGCTGTTCTTCCTTCATTTGCATAAGCTTTTCTGGAAGAAGGCTACAGTGTAGCCATAGCCTTGGTTTGACCCCTTGCTCTGGGAGAGGAGTATGCTATACAATGATTAGAAGTAGTTTTAACCCAAGCAGGGTTAGTTGCTCTGAAAGATGCTGAGACCGGTGTGGTCAAGCGCTCTTTCGGTGCCGATATGTTCAATGCCAAGGTCTTTACTTTAGTCTGCTAAGATGCTGAGTCAGCTCTTGGAGGCGTCCCCGATGCTGGTGCCACTTCTCTGCATAAGGATGGACTCGGCTCTGAGACTGTACAGATCATCTTATGTTTTCGAGCCTGGCTGCTGGAAGATGAGTCAGATGTACCTGGCTTGTCGTCCATGCTTATTCTGTGGGTCATTGCTGGTCTTTCCGTGATCTTAGAAGCTTCCAATGGCTCGCCCTCAGGAGGCTGAAGAACCTTGTTAAATAACAGCATTTTCATTCAGGCACATTTCATGATCTTGTCTTGCGCATGCCGTAAGTTTTGAGCAGCGCTGGCACTTTTGAGGGATGTGGCCCTCACCCAAGCATCTAATACAGCTGTCATGGCCGTCTGAGGCTGGTATCGCCTCGCGACATGTGGAGCATTTCTTAAATCCGGGAGACCCCGGCATTTTGGTTAACTCTAACCTAATCACTAAGCCTAATACTGAGAGAAGAAAAACTTTTTTTTAAACTATAACAATATATATGTGTAAAACGATTAACTATGACTAAAGATTAATTTTAAATAACTATTTACAAACTTTTGAAATATTTTCCTGTCAGGTTGAGAGAGAGAGGGAGTTCACTTCGCTTGCAACTATGAACAGTAAGGAGGAACTGGCGGGAGCTGGACTGCATGCACACTCAGAAGCAGCGTGAAAGGCATGTGACACCTCCGCGCATGTGCGGTCCGATAAACCACGGCTAAAGAATTTCCAACCTGGGGCGCTGGGACAAGCCCGTCACCCACAGTAGAGCACTCATGGGGACACTACCAAAGAAGAATCCTGTGTACCCCTTTCCACCAGGCCACAGCTCCCTCCCAGACCCTGCACCCTCTCCAACATCCCTCCCCCAGGTCAGAATGCTCTCTGGCATCTATACCCCCTCCCTGCCCCTGCCTCCAATTGCCCACCCCAAGTCATCACCCAAACCCTCTGCACCCCCTTCAGCTTCCTCCCAGGCACTGCACCCCTTCTAGAGCCTCTCCCTCAGGCCAGAATCCTCTCCTGCACCCGTACCCCCTTCCTGGACTCTGTACCCCAATCCACTACCCCAGATCACAACCCCCTCCTCCACCCAAGCTCCCTCTCAGACTCCACACCCTCTCCTGCACCCAGTCTCCTATCCCAAGCTCCCTTCTACATCCAACCACTGTCCCAGAACCCCAAAATCTTGGAGTGCCCCCCATTAAAAAGTATTGCCCACCCCTACTCCAATCGGTGTTTCAATTGATCTTTAATAGTCATTTTTGCTCCATTTGGGAGTGTTGGGGGGCAGGGGGACAGCTGCTGACTCCTCGGAGCCTTGCCCAAGCATGGTCTGGGCGAGCTGGCGTAAGTACTGCAGGGTGGAACACTGGCTGTAGTCCTGCTGCAAGGGAAACAAAATCCATCTGCAAATCAGCCCTCAGGGAGTCAGGTGTACTGAGCACCAGTAGCATTTCCACCCTCCTCCCCCCAGCGCTGAGACTTGTTCTGCTGTCTGGTCACCCTTTTGTCAGGCCCCACTGTAGGGTGAGTTCCTGACACATCTGGCTCCTCCCACCTCCCAGGACACGGTTTCTGTGTTCAGAGCCTCCCCCACCCCCAGGGACACTCGCAGGGGCAGGAGGGATTCTGCCAGCAGGGACGTGGGGTGGGGGCAGCATGAGGAAAGGGGCGGGGGACTCCCTGAGGGGATGGGAAGGAGACCTTGGCC